TTTAATTTGCCAAAATAACTGCCCGTATAAATGAATATTTAGTACGTCCTAGTTGGAAATTAAATAGCGAGATATATTAAACCGTCTCGTGTCGATGAATTTTGTTAGAAAATAAAAATGAGAAACATGATATATTTATTCGTCCGAACAAACTGCCGTTATATTATTGTTGTGAATCGCACTTGAATTGGAGGAAAAAATACCAATAATTGCAGATAGATGGTTTAACACGTGGTCCATCGGATTGGTTATAATATTATGGAGAGTGGACTGCGAAAAAAACCCTTATGAGCACGTATCAACACGTATCAAAATATAATAACAAATTAAGTTTTTGGGAAAAAAAAAAAAATGTAATAATAATGGTAATAGTAAAGAAAAACTCTAAACGCGTCTACGTGTTTTCATTTTTTTTTTTTACCGTAACACCGATGAGTAGTCATTATATTTTCGATCAGATGTGTCTGCATTTCAATCCATGTTACTCACACCGGTCAGCAACGCGTAATGTTATGCAGGTCGTTTCTTGAGTATTAACCAATTTCAGTATCCCCGACGATAACACGGGCAGAATTTTAATATTTTTACCAACGCACGGAACATCACATTTACTAAGTACTCGTGAAATGTCCTACTTAACGATGAATTAATGTGTGACCGAGAAGTTTGCACCAGTCGCGCTGAAAACATTTTCCATAGCATACAATCGATAATGAAAACCATGGTCTTTAGATGTTCACATCACCGCGGTATTTAAAAACATTAAAATAGGAAGACGGTTCTCTAGCCGCGACTTGTCGACCGACAAAACCGAAACGCATACGACGTCGTGTCGTCCACGAAATCGTTGACATTCAATTTGAATCGTCCGATCACCGTATAAGCCTCGGTAAACGTGAAAAACGTAAAGTAACTGCAACCGCTTCACCTGAAAAAATCCACCTGCGCATGTAAACACGTCGTTACATTGCGGTATTGTAACCAGAGCCATGACTAGGGCGAGCGAGGCACCTGAAGCTGGGGGGCGTGAAATCATTAAACAATTAATTTATTTTAAGAAATGTTATTTCTTGTTTCGCTTGGAAACCCGATTACAATTTTTCAGATTTTTCCGAATCGTATTATACATATTGAAAACTGTGAGTGCGACAACCCTACGGCCTAGGGGGCGCGTTGTTTCAGTTCTGGCTCGGTATAAAAAATGGTTCCGAATCGCGCGGTCCGCACATCGTTTCGTCCGGCGGATCCGTTGATCCGTCTATTCCGGATGCCAATCGCACCGTAACGGGCGACATTACCGCGGGAAACCATACGACCGAGTCGGGTTCACCGGCGATCAATTACGGTGCGACGATACCGCGCCGGGAAGTAGCATCGTCCTTCTCGCGAATTCGACTTTGATGCCGCATCGCCGCGACCATTGTGTGCGAGCGCGGACGTACGCAATAAACGGTCTATCATTATTTAATATCATTGTTATTACGAACATCGGATCTTGATGACGACCGTAAGAGGTTCGGTGGTAATAACCGCGCGTCCCGAATTTGGAAACGACGTGACGTGCGGGGGCAGAGAAGGACCGGACGACAATGCGGTCGTTAATACGAAACGCTATTAGACATTGTAAATTGAACGCGCCAACTGTTGAACTCGGAACGAGCGTATATAATACTGTGATGTAATGTACACCATCTAAAACAATGTTCGGTTTTTTTTTTTTTTCTACTTCCTTTTATTTTAAATCACCCTAATACGGGGTATCGTGCGATTTCCCAACTACGCGCATCTCAGTCGAATGCGGAGACGATCGAAATCGTATTATTACAATACGCGATCGTGTATACATCGAACCAATAATGTCGAATCGGATGTAAAATCATGGTTTTGACTTACAAAATCGAATGCGTCGACGATTTTCCGGTACTTTTGGAGATGACCGAACAATAACTACAGACAAACACGATATGCGTATTCATAATTTATTACATCGTATACCGGAATAATAATTTTACAATAAATATTTCTATATGTAAAATATGTTTACCGATATTTCGGAATCACAAGTTTTTTTTTTTTGTTTTTTTAAGGTTATCTTTTGACTAGATAGGTTCGTAAATTATAAATACTATTATGCAAAACAACCTAATATTACATAGTTAAAAGAAATGTATGAGAAACGAAATTATTTCAATAGCTACTGAATTAATAAAAGAAACAATTTTTTCTTACAACCATGTATATTTATTGCTGTAAATATACCTAAAACTCTTTTAAAAATTATATTTATTTTTCAACATTTATTTTTTATTTTTTTATTTTGTATTATTCTATTAGTATAGAAATCATTAAAACGTTGAACCAAACTTTTAAATTTTACCGACAACCGTTTGAGTCAGAAAATATTTTAACTACACGAAAAATGTTTGGTTGTGTATACTACACAACATACGACGAGTGTTGCATAATTTGATAGATAGACGATTTATTTGTCAAATTCGATAGCGAGTATATGACATATAATTTAACTTTATAAAGTGTGAAATTTTTAAAGTTAAATTTAAAAACACCCAAACGGTAAATTATATGAATAATTTATTACGAAGTTGGTTAGAGCAAATCAAATTCTACGAAACACCGACTATATTATAATATAATATTATTATTATCATATTTTGTTCGGTAATTTTATTAAAATCTGTATGAATAAAAAGCAACCCAGAGCGTACTGGTCTGGTAAACTTTCTGTCTGTGTATCAAAGTTAAAATAGTAATTAAAATTTGAATCCCCAGCCAGTAAAAGAGGATTTGTTTATAACTTTTGCACATCTAATTAAACCTATCGAAAACATTGCAAGTCTGATAATTTAGGTCACGGACAAAAAAAATAATAATGAGGTAAAAGAAAGAAAATAATCTATGGCCAATATAAGAGTTGGTGAAACGCCGAGCATTAGTCTTGTCAAATAATAAAAATAATCCAACGTGTGTTCGTATATACATAGTTAAGTCATATTTTTTTATTTTTATTATTATTATTTTTTGTTTCATTTCGATGATTAAAATATTCGCATTAATTATACGAATCGGTCACACCGGGCAAAAAAAAAAACTGCAGACCATACTAATTCGTCGGCCGATGAATCTACATAATGAATAACAGACGCGTAAAGTAATTGCAACAATTAATCCGTAATCGTATTTCAACCGTGTTACACGTATAACCTGTAAACACAAACTTATGTTGTTTTATATTATTAACTTACCCTAATTGGTGATCATTACACTTATTATATTAGTCTCATCAATAATTTAACTATTTCTTGCGTTCGGCTCCGAACTGTTGTCCGTACAAATCTCTTCGTACCCGTCTATTATCGTAACAATTTTTTATTTCGCGATGTACATATTTGTACCATATTTTATCCCTGTGTATGTTACCGGAAAAGATGAAAATTCAAGAAATTGTCAGTATATCCTAGTCATTGTTGACAATGACTGGAAATGTTAGGTAATGTTGGATATTTCGTAGTTTTATCAACATTTCCGTATTATATTTGGCAATTTTATAAATCCTAATCGAAAAAAATATCAACACCGCGCTTTATCGGTGATCGATCTGATTATGAAACATGGCTATCTATACTATTACTTATTAGTATATAATATGGTAAACCCTGTTTTATGTTCTCATTTTTATTGCTCATAACTTATAATAAAATTGGCTATACAGAATTATCGTAGCTGGTATTATTATAGTCACATCCCGCAAGTGACTGTACAGTACTGTTTGTGCATTGAAGTAGTGACAGTAGTAACGTGTAATAACATTGTGTAATAACATTGTTCTTTTTTTCAACAATCTGTTTAAAAATGGATTTAAATGAAATGTTATCATCAATTCCTTCTTTTATTAGGAATTGTCATCAATGACTAGTTATTGACGTTAAGTTCTTACTAAATCAGGTATTATCGCTATTAATTAGTCATTGTCAACACTGACTGAATGTCATATTTTCCGGTAACATATATATAAATATGCGAATATGGAATCTTTGTCACGTATGTTCTTCGAAATCACGGTTCCGATTATCTCGAATTTTTTTTATTTTAATTTTTTTTTTTAACGAAAGAGTACATTGTGGGTCTGGTTTTAAGCTTGATATAAATTCTAAAAGTTGAATAATTAATTATTTATTTATAATCGTTTTTTATTTTAATATCCCACGGCGCAGTGCGGCAAGAAAAACATAGGCGTGTGTGAATGTGCTCGCCACTCGTCGCCGGCTATCGCTGCCATACCGATACTTAATATAGGTGACGTTTTTTCGTTGGGCATACATTTTGTCCGATAAAATAATTAGATAAGAACACGTTTTCAAACGGCGTATGTTACAATAGGAAATATGAATTCAAAACGTAAGTGTTTTCGTACGGTAAAATAGTCAAAGGTATCTTCAGGTCTTCGCTGTTCAAAAGGAAAAGTTTTTTTGAAAGAAATTACAGATCCGATCGACCTGAACCATTGAAATATCTCTTAAATTGTTTTCATAAAGATTAAAAACATTTTATGATTCGTGTGTAGAATTTGGCTTTTCAAAGTACACCGTTTGGCGCAACGAAATCTAGGCACGGAAACTCTATGTCGACATTTAAAGTTTAAAGTCAAGCTTACCATTTGGCTGGTTCTCTATTACCTAGTTATCTGGGAGAACTAAAGTTTTTACAAAAATATATTTCAAGCACTAATCTGTTTTTCTCAATATTTATCAAAAAATATTGTATGATTTATTATAATGTAATCAACAAAACGACGATTATGATTTTTATTTTCTTTGTGCTTAGTCACCTAATCTAACGAAATGATAGGTATTTATTTCCACGGGCGAAGCCGAGTGATTCAGCTAGTATTTATACATTCTTTCACCCAACAGGACAACGGCTTATAACGAAAATAATAATATCGATAATGATAATTAAACCTTTTTTTTGACCAATTGCAGATATCGAAGCCGAGTGCCAAGACGATTACATGAAAATCCGTATCGGTTTCAATGGCTCGTTCGGCGGTCTGCTTTACTCGTCCGGTTACTCGTACGACCCGGACTGCGTGTACATCAACGGCACCGGACGCGATTACTACGAGTTCTACATACAGCTAAACAGGTGCGGCACGTTGGGCAAGAACTCCAGACAAGAAGACGCCAGGAAGAACCCCGCGGTGAGTTTCTCGCGCTCGAGACAAGACGACCGACGCGGTCTTTTTAATTATATATTATAGGCGCACCGGCTTGGCGCGAAGTCGCCCGGAGGGAATATCCGTCTGGTGGTCGAAGGACGTGGTTTTTGAAAAGTGCTAGGGGTAGGTAGAGGGGGTAGGGGTTTGGAAATCGATTTTGTCGACCTCGGTAACGCTGCCGCTGGTGCTCCGATCGGGTCGAACGAACGAATAAAATCGTCCGACTCGATATAGTGGCAATACGTAGACGGCGATAATTGAGACGGAAGAGTAGCGCGTCGTGGCCGGAGTACACGAGGTATGTTTATTTGCGTGCCGCATTTTTTATCGCATTTGAAGGAAAAAACATCCGATTTTTAACGAAATAAACACTCCGCGATAAGACGCTCTGTAATAACATTATGCCGCCCATCATAACGTAAAACTCGTCGGGTGAAAAATGATTTCCTTTCGTTTTCGAACACGATAATATAATCATAAATCGTTTATATTAGCAGTACGGACGCCGTCGTTCTGCAATACGGCTGTAATACGATTTTTCCTTTTCGTCTTCGCCGGCAACGCGTAATTAAATCGCGGAACGATGAAAACAACTGCAACAACAACAATAATAATACCAAATAATAGCAAAAATAACCGATTCGAAACCCATTGGCTGCGACCGGAATCGAGACGCGTGAACCGCGGGAAATGCGGAATGCCGATTGTTGGCTGACCGGCGGAGGCAACGAAACATTATTCGGTTCGGTACGATGTTTGTTACGGTTCTTATTGGCTGGTACAGAAACAACTCGTTTTACCGAGAAAAACGCGAGTTCGCATTCAACCCTCCGCCGGATTACGGTGGCGAAACTTGAAGGGTGACATATTTCACACGGGACCGAAAAAGGTTTTGCGTCTTTTCGGCAGGGGTTGGGGTTGTTGCGGTTTATTGCCGAGGGCCTGTGGCGGGACACTTAATCCAGCCCCGAGTTTGCACAGCGCGCAGCAGCACGAGGGCTATTGCAATATTATTGGTTTCCAAATAATTATTTTTACAATCACGACTGACAGTGCCGTTTTGTTTGTTTCCCCCCCATCAGAAAAATCTCATGTGGAACACCGTCACCGTCCAGTACAATCCGCTGATCGAAGAGGAATGGGACGAGCACTTCAAGGTGACGTGTGAATACGGTTACGATTTCTGGAAGACCGTGACGTTTCCGTTTTTAGACGTCGAGTACGTATAAAATACAATATATATCATGTATATATATCATTGCGTTTCGGCGATAAAAACGCGAATATGTACATCGTAACGTTCTAATTTTTGGCGTTCTTTTACAGGGTGGCCACGGGTAATCCGGTTGTTTTCACGCTCTCGCCGCCCGAGTGTTATATGGAAATACGATACGGATACGGAACCACGGGCAACCGGGTGGGCGGACCTGTACGCGTCGGAGACCCGTTGACGTTGATCATCTATATGAGGAGCAAATACGGTAACTATCGTTGTAACATACGACCGTACAAGAGTTCGGCCACCGTAGCGCAACATGGCCGTCGCGTTTTGCCGAAAAAAAAAGCACCCATTTCGGTTTTTTTCCCGAATCGACAACACATCATTCCCTATCGGTTTAAAAGTCCCTCGACGATGCTGCGGTGATAACGTAATTATAGACCGGCGTTTCCCAAACTTTTTCTCTGCCGGACTCTACCTTTAGAGTAAATAAAAATGATCCTTTTAATACAAATAAGAATTAAAAACAATAATAAACAATAATGCTAAATCGATTGTTTCATTTTCTTAACCAAATGCACATATTTTTATGATAATTATTGATAAACCAACGTCCGCATCTAGTCTTGACTGCTTCACAACGATAACTATTTCTTACATGTATTGCGTTTATTATCAAAAGTATTTCCCGTGTTATACGAATATTACATCGGTATTTTCGTTTTTATAGATTGGTACTCTGTATATTTTTAATTTACGTTCACTGTTATAACCCGTAATATTGACCGTCGTCGTCGGTTTGTTACGCTCACAACAATACCGTCGTGCAACAATATTGCATACCACCGTTCGCCTTCAAATCGGTCCGAAATGTCCGATAGCTTCGATAGCGTTCAAAACATTACGCACCAATATAATATATTATATGAAATACATTTTCTAACATGAACTATAATATTTCAACATGAAACTCGACGGTTAATAGTGATAAAACAATGTTTTTACAACATTTTGATATTTTTCTTGCGTTATATTAACACTGGATCTCGTGTGATTGCAGACGGATTTGATATCGTGGTTAACGATTGTTACGCGCATAACGGAGCCCAAAAGAAGATCCAATTGATTGATCAATACGGGTGAGCATAACTTTATCATAACAAACGGTTAGACGTCTGGTGTTCACGTGTGTTTTACCGGAAATGTTTGTCAATCTCTTGATGAACGGTTCCAGCAGTTGTACTTCTTCGAGCATAGTAGTCCCTCGACGTGTTACCGCTACATGATAATTTTGATTAAATAAACTATTAAATCCAACCTATTTCATTACTAACACGAGTCGTTCTCGCGTTTTCAGATGTCCTGTCGACGACAAGCTCATCAGCCGTTTCAGAGGATCGTGGAGCGAGAGTCAAGTGTTCGAGACCCAAGTGTTTGCCTACATGAAAACATTCAGATTCACCGGATCGCCGGCACTATACATCGAATGCGATGTCCGTATGTGTCACGGAAGATGTCCGGTAAGTCCATCGCTTTCGCAATCATAACTGAACCATGCCGTATAATCTGTTCGCTTACATATTGGAAGTTAACGAAATCGTAACTACAGAACGTCTCGTTCGATTTCTGTATTTTTTTTTTCTAAACTCATAATGATTAGAATTTGATTATGAAAGCGCATTCGATTCGAGTAATATTTTTCAATAATTTTAGAGCAATATATTATTTCTGAAAGTTTTTGGACTTTTAAGCCCGTCATAACTCAACGTAATCTTATTAACATTTACGAGAAAATATTAAAAAATAAATACCTGATCGCGTTTTCAATATTGAAATCAAACATATTTTACTTCGACTAACTGGTTTTTTTCTCAACAACATGGAAATTAACCTTTTCTATCATAATTTTGTAAAATTACAAACCACAGATACGTATTATTGTCTCGTAAGCGCATTTTCATTACATTTCAACCATACAACAATATTCTTTATGTACATCATCCCAAATTAATTTTTTGTCGTTGAATTTTGAGTTGTATCGATATAATCTATTTTGATAAGGTCTTACATATACTTAGCAAAACCTTAGTGACCTGAGAATTATGCATTTTTATTTTTTTTTTATTCACTACAGAGTCAACCGTGCCACTGGAGGAACGCAAAGAGCGTATCGAAACGGTCCACTGACGTGGAAGTGGCTACAACCCCGGCGGCCCTCTCACAGAACATCAACTTATTCCAATCGTTAAGAGTGCTCCAAGAAGGCGAAAACGGCGAAGACGCTAGCGCACTGAGCAACAGTAAGTGTGACTATAACCGTTCGTTTTTACCTTCTCGATTAGTAATGTACTTCTGTGGAGTATAGTACTACGGAAATACGAGCTGATCGGTTCGAGTTCTAGAAACATAATGCTTTTTATAATCACGGGATCTTATTGCAATATAAAAACGAAACCGTGTACATAAATATTGTTTTCATTTGAATGCGCAAAGAACGGAATTGGAAGTTTTTCGCGCATAAGAAAACCAAAACCAACCAGACCGTTCTGGTAAAAGGTAACGAGTAATATCGCGACGTTCTCCGTTCTCCAGCGTCACGAACGATTCACGTTAAGATCCGGTTCGATCGTCCACTGCGCACGTATTTTCGGGACCGCAAATAACATTTAGTAATTGTTCAATGTTTCCAGGGACCACCGGGTACTATACCGACAACAGTCAAAATTCTGTGTGCGTGCGGTCCGGTTTGCTGGCCGGACTACTAGCGCTCGCCTCCACCGTCCTGTGCTTCCTGAGCTTGGCGCTGACGGTCATGTGCTACCGGTCCAAACGGCTGGTCAAGGGCTGCGGCGACGATCCAGCGCATCACGTGATCACTGGCGCACCAGCGAGATGTTTCCTGACGCATAAGGGCCGAATAAATTAACGACAACCGCAGTGCAGACTCGCGGGGAGGGGGGAATCTACTATTACGTACAACATTTAGGTACAAACCAGTCTATAAACTCTCACTCGTGTGGAACATTTTCCGTTTTTTTTTCTTCTAATTATTATATTATTAGTGTTAATTATTTTCTCCCGTTCGAAGTACATCACATATGTGTAAACCGTCCGCGTTCAACGACGTGGACGATTAGAGCTGTGTTTGTATATTCTTTGTAATAATCACGATCGCGTACAGACAGAATGATTCGCATTCGCGGTGCGGACATTTCCAAAGATGCGCGTCTTAGAGTGTCAACAACACGTAAGAAGTGCTATACGGGCCCTGCAGGCTTTCATTATGAGACAACGGCATAATTTTAGTGCACAACAACGCACATCGCGGTCGTACATCGTCCCCAAGAAAGGTTCGTCCGATGAATAATACTCGATCTGTCTGTGCGAGAAATCCCGTCACGCGATCTTTCCCGTACTACGTCTCATTCCCTCGTACCTATAAATATATATATATATATATATAAACGATACATTTTACAAGTTAGGTTAAATTAAATAACATAACTACTGTACGAGCTGAAATCGATACGAATAGTCTTTGTGTGTATTTTAATTTTAAACTATAATTATTTTTATTATTATTATTATTATTTAAGAAGTGAATAAATAAATAAAAAAAAAAACAAAAATAAATGGGCCATAATAAATAGAAGAAGACAAAAAATAAATGAAATAAAACAATCAACTGTGTTCGCCAACGAACTAGGTGTAGAGCGTACGCGGTGGGATCAGGATGTACCGACGGGACCGAATCCCGGCCGACACGATCGATCGTCCGTCGTCGTGCGAATACCGCACACCGTTGCGTGTCAATCCGTCGGTCGTTTTTTTTTTTTTTCTACGATTTTCTATTTTTCTATTTTTTCTCTGTCGGCGTAGAGAGACAAGCGCCCGTGCAGCGATCGACGTTCGGTCGACGGTTCGGCGGCCGGGGGCGGTCCGCGGGACCGCACGTCACGCGCCGTCCGTCCACCGCACGTCCAGGCCCGCAGCCGCCGTGCACG